GAGCCCAGGGAGGGAGGGGGTGTGGGGAAGGTGTGACCTGAGGACGGAGGGGTGCGAGGAGGCGGGGCCAAGGGGCCCCCGAGGAAGGAGGAGTCCGCTGGGTGTGGGTGACCAGAGAGGTGGGCGTTGGAGATTCCCACCAGGAGAGGCAGCTGTGGGGTACCCTGCCAGCTCCCGTGTCCGAGGTCCAGGAGTTCTAGGGGCAAGGACCTCTGCCTAGGGGCCTGGCTCTCTGGAGCTCTTCCTGGGTCCCAGGGGGCCTCCACTGAGCTTGGGAAGAGCCCCCAGTCCCTGCCTGCCCCTGTGCCCTGGAGTCCCAGCTCCCACCCGCCTGTCCGCCTCCCAGAATGGAGAACACCACCCCTACCCGGAACCCTACCCAATGCCTGGTGCACCTAACCTGGGCCTTGGCCAGAAGCTTGAGCCGGTTCCAGTGTAGGAACCTCTTCCAAGGAGAACATGTCCCTGGGCAACAAGGGGTCCCTGGAGGAGGCTTCTGGGCAGGAGATGTCGTGGCACCCAGGACCATGACCCAGCAGCAATTTCAACAAGCTAGAGAGGGGGGACTGCGTACACTTGGGTGGAAGGTGGCCTTGGATGCATCTCACATAGGCCATGCAGACCCAGCGGAGCCCCCAGGAGGAGCTTTGGGACCCTGAGCTCCTGCTGCTGTGCCAGTCCACACTTGCCTCGGTTTCCCCCTCATGGGCAGGGATCTTGCCCCTGACCACAGGCTACCTCAAGGCCAGATGGTGCGTCTGAGGAGGGTGAGAGAGGGCTGCCATTGGCTGTACCCCCCCACCTCCTCACCCCAGTTGAGAGGCAGGCCTGCCACCAGCCACCCTCACAAAGGAGCAGGCGAGGGCAGATGGCTTGTCCTGGGGGTGGGCCAGTGGGATGCAGGGGCCTGTCTCCTGTGGACTGCAGCGTCTGGGGCAAGGCCTGGCACTTTTGGAGCTGCTGCTGCCGCCCCACAGTGGAACATCTGGCTCCCACTCTGGGCCAGCCTTGAGGGGTGACAGGACACAGAGGACTCTGGACAGCCTCTGCCCCTCTTCTCAGGGAGCCCGGGTGCCTTTCCTGATGCTTGTGGGAGCAATGGTTGAGCGCCACTGTGTGCCAGGCACTACCATGGCTTACTCAGGTTCACCTGTTCAGCGACTCTGTCGTTCTCAGGAGCTGTCTATACTGGGAGCCAGGGCTTGGTGAAGCAGCTTGACTTGCCCGAGATCACACAGTGGGGTGTAGGGTGGGCAGGGGCTAGGGTCTGTCTCCAGGACCAGGTCAGGCTGTTCACCACTGAACACCTCTTCCTGAGGGGGCTTGGATCAGACAGCCCAGCATCATCAGATCCCCCCTCTCATGTGCCCCCCCGGGGGAAAGGACCTGGGGGCAATTTTCCTTGACTGTTGTAATTTTTGTGACTAAGAAGATTGCTGCTTCCCAATAATGGCTCCTGCAGAACTGTGTTCCGAGAGGCGCATAAAAATGATGGCCTACTTTTGTTCTCTGCTGCTCTGAAGTCTGACTCTGCAGGTGGCTATTGGGGCCAGTAGAGCTGGGGCTGGCTACCTACAGAGTCCCTCCCTGAGGTCTGGGCATCAGGCATCTGGGAGTGGCCCAGAGAATCCCTGAGTGGCTGAGAAGATGAGGATTTGTTTGATTTTAGCTACTTGGTGGGCTGAGGTGGGAGGATCACTTGAACCCAGGAACTGGAGGCGGCAGTGAGCTCTGATAGCATCACTGCACTCCAGCATGGCAACACAGCAACACCCCATCTCTATAAAGTCAGACAGGCACCAGGAGCCACGCACTGGGGAACCCAGGGCCTGTGTTGGGCTGGGTCTCAGCCGATAGCCGCCCCCTCCCCCAGGGGTACAGCTCGCAGGCCTCTGCAGCTGTGTTGGGTCCATCCCCTTGGTCTCCTGATACCCACCACAGTCTCCAGCCCTGCCTTCTGCTCCTTCTCTACATGCCAAAAGGAGCTTCAAATGTGACACATTTGGTTTCTTTTAAAATGGGACCCCAGTACCAGGCTGTGGGCAGTGGAGGTCCGCAGCCCCCTCACCACCGGAGCAGGATCCCGACCACCCCGCTGATCTCTTGCTAGAGGCTACACTCCCAGCCGAGCGCCGGTGTGGGCTGAAGGCTGGATAGCCGGAGCGCCCTCTCTAGTGCTGCCACTGCAGGCACCGTCTCCAAGCACTGCCCAAGCAAACTCAGCCGCCTCAGAGGCTCTGGTCACACCCCACAGAAAAACAGGCGGCCGGTGACCCACACGGGAGCAAAGCAGACAGGAGCCTTTCTGCTGCTGGCAAGTCTCCCTGGGTGGGATTCCAGGGGCATAGTCTCTTCCTGGCCTCAGCCTCTCTCTCTCTCTCTTTCTCTCTCTGCATGTCTCTCCCCTCTTCCCTCTCTCTGTGTCTCACTGTGTCTCTCCCCTCCTCTGTCTCTTGCTGTGTCTCTCTGTGTCTCTCTCTCCTCCTCCATCTCTCTGTCTCCTTCTGTCTCTCCTCTCCTCCATTTATCTGTCTCTTCCCTCCCCCATCTCTCTGTCTCTCCCCTCCATCTCCATCTTTCCATTTCTCTCTCTTCTCCTCCATCTCTCTGTGTCTCTTTTCCTCTATCTCGGTCTCCCCCCACCCATCTCTCTGTCTCTCCCCACCTCCCTCCCCTGGTCTTGCCTAGAGTCATGTGGTCCTCACGGTTACTTTGTGGGGACTTTCCACCCTTTAGACTCCTGTTCTTTAGTGTTTTGTTGCCTTGTCCTTGCTGCCATTGCACTGGGATGCCACCCTATTACTGCCCTGTCCTGCTGGGGACAGTTGTGGTGCCCAGACAGGACCCTGGCCAGCTGTGCAGTCACTCTCATCCCTCCCCTACCCCACAGCTCTGGCCCAGCCTTCTCTCTGCACTGTGTTCTGTTGACTCCTTCAGCTCATCTTTCCATTCATTGATTCTCTCTTCAACTCTGTTCAGACCGGAGTTGGACCTGACTGCTCTTGGGTTTGGTTTTGTTTTTGTATTTTTGCACCTAAGATTTGTAATTTTTACAAAATAGACACCTGTTCTAATTACTTCTTAGACAGAAGCCAACTTTATTTACTCAACTTTTATTCATGTCTTTTTTGGAATCTAAACATACTTAAGCATATTCTGGGGACACTTGTGAAGTCTCTTATTTTTATTTCACCTGGAATGAACCCACGGACCTACCTCTCTGTGCTGATTTTCTAGATGGCATTTCATAGAGTGGATGGGCCATGAGGACTTGGGATGTTGGTTTCTTGGTGCATAGGGGTAGAGGGTTTTCTCGTTGGGACTGTCAGCCTGTTTCTTGGGCTCCCATTGGGTTCTCCTCTCCTTGTCTACAAGATGTCCTTGGCCTCTGCCCAGGACCGGGCCCTTCCCTGGCAGCTGTGGGGAGTCCTCTGTTCTGAGGCAACTAGGGGTCACTGCAGGTCAACCGAGCAGGCCCAGGGCTCCAGGGCATAGGTGCTGAGTGGCCCTAACAGGGCCACCACAGCCAGGCTGCAGAACCCCCTGGGCAGGGCCTGGCCCCAGTCTGGTGCTCTGCTGGCCACCTGGCATCACATGAGGGCCAGCCCCGCATGGTGGCCTTTGTCCTGCCCCCTCGTCAGAGCGTGTTTATTTTATCTTGGGCATCACTGTTTTTGCGAATGATTCTGACATGCAGAATATACAGTAACATGTAGACGCATACGTGCCCGTCCCCCTGAGCTGATGGTGTCATGTCCCCACGCTGCCTCTTTCCACAAGCCCCAGCACAACCGAGCCTTCTCCCACTCCAGGCCATCCCTCCCTGTTGCCCCTTGCACACTCCCTTTGCCCTGTGGAGCGCTGGAGGGCCTGGGAGGGGCCTCGGAGCTCAGGCTGGGCTGAGGATGTCAGGAGATGGTGGCTGGTGAGCCCTCCGCACGCGGGCCCCTGCTCCCCTCCTGTCTCCGCGGTCGGCCCCCAGCCTTTCCCTCGGCCTGCCCCCGGCTCTGCCCCCTCCTGCCCTACCCCCGCCCCCTCCAGTGCTCACCATGGCTGTGACTGTCCTGTGCAGTGTGTGTGTTGCTTGTTTGCAACTTCCCCGTGATGCGGGACCCTGGGGGAGGAGCTGCGTTTGCTCCTCCATGCTGCATCCTCTCGAGGTCTTAGGGGATGTCTGTCATTGCTGTGAGGTGAGGGACTCCCCTGCCACGTAAGAGGCAGAGGGAGCTGATGCCCAGGACGCCGGGCCTGGTGCGGGTCCCAGGAGGCTGCGAGGACAGCACCCCATCCAGCCCCTTCCTGGTGGTTGCAGCTCACCCTTGTCTGTCCTGGGCAGGCCATGTCTGGGTGCAGAGCCCTATAGGGTCAGCTCTGCTGCCTGGCCAGGTTCAGGCACCAGGCTCTGCAGGGTGCCACTTGCCAGGGGACAGTGCCCCCTGGGGCCAGATGGGTATTGCCAGAGCCCCATGGCCCAGGAAGGCCTGACCCTGGATGGTGCCCCGCTCTGGGGTCAGCTGGGGAAAGCTGGGCTCAGTGACTGTTGCAGGTCAGCTCACTGCAGACTCTTGATCTCACTGCCCATGTCCTGTCCCTTTCCTTGGGGGCCCCTTACCTGGGATGGGGGTGGCAGCAGGGGTCTCAGGTCGAGGGTGCTGTCTCCACGCAGGGGGCGCCATCCCGGGTGGCAGAGACGGGCGTTATCATCAACGCTGAGTGTCCCGCCTGCCCACCACTCCCTCTCCCAGCCTGTCTTCCACACGATTTGCTTAATGTGATTCCCAGTCGGGCCAAGTCTGTTTACCCAGATAACCCCACGCCTCCGTTGGGTGGAGTGTACGGTCCCAGGGAGGGAGTCGGGCCATGCTGACCAGGCCCTGCCTCCTCCTTCTCTTGCAGAGCCGCACGCACCCTCGGGACACCATGGAGCCCCTGTTCCCAGCCCCTGCGCCTGGCTGGAATGCCTCCTCTGGGACCACCCCTGGGGATGGTGGGAACGGGACACTGGTGGGGCTGGCGCCCTCAGCCGGTGCCCGTGCAGTGCTGGTGCCTGTGCTGTACCTGCTGGTGTGTGCCACGGGACTGGGCGGCAACGCGCTGGTCATCTATGTGGTGCTGCGACACGCCCGGATGAAGACGGTCACCAATATCTACATCCTGAACCTGGCGGTGGCCGACGTACTACTGCTGCTGGGGCTTCCCTTCCTGGCCACGCAGAATGCCGCATCCTTCTGGCCCTTCGGCCCTGTGCTGTGCCGCCTGGTCATGACCCTGGACGGTATCAACCAGTTCACCAGCATCTTCTGCCTGACTGTCATGAGCGTGGACCGCTATCTGGCTGTGGTGCACCCACTGCGCTCTGCCCGCTGGCGCCGCCCGCACGTGGCCAAGCTGGCCAGCGCCACTGTGTGGGCCCTGGCACTGCTCATGTCGCTGCCGCTGCTGGTGTTTGCCGATGTGCAGGAGGGCTGGGGCACCTGTAACCTCAGTTGGCCAGAGCCCGTGGGCCGCTGGGCCGCCGCCTTCATCATCTACACAGCAGTGCTGGGCTTCCTGGCGCCTCTGCTAGTCATCTGCCTGTGCTACCTGCTCATCCTGGTCAAGGTGCGAGCCTCAGGTGTGCGCGTGGGCTGCATGCGTCGGCGCTCGGAGCGCAAGGTGACGCGCATGGTGGTGGTGGTGGTTCTGGTGTTTGTGGGCTGCTGGCTGCCCTTCTTCACGGTCAACATCATCAATCTGGCTTTTGTGCTGCCCGAGGAGCCTGCCTCTGCTGGCCTCTACTTCTTTGTGGTCATTCTGTCCTATGCCAACAGCTGTGCCAACCCTGTGCTCTACGGCTTCCTCTCCAACAACTTTCGCCAGAGCTTCCGGAAGGTTCTGTGCCTCCGCAAGGCCAAAGGCACCGAAAAGGATGCAGAGGCCACAGAGCTGCAGCTGGACAGGGGCGGGCAGCCGCAGGAGGCCACACCGCCCCCGTGCAACCCTGAGGCCAACGGGCTCATGCAGACCAGCAAGCTGTGAGGCAGAGACAGTGCTGTGTGGCTCCCTGTGGCCACGAATCTGGATACTTCCTGGTGGCAGCATGAGAATCGGGTTGTCTGGGACCACATGCGTTGGGCAGTGGCCTGCAGTGACTGCTCTCCCTCTCTCTGGCCTGTCCTCCATGCAGATGGGACCCCGGGGGACTGGGTGAGTGGCGGAAGGGCCAGGCGGGGACTCCACTGTGCTGGTAAACTTCGCTCAGGACTGCTCACTCCACCTGTCGGCTGCATCAGCCTCCTACCGGGGCAGCAGTTTTTCTGGAACGTTGGCTCGGCAGGAGTGTCTCCTGGCCCACTATCCTGCCTGCCCCAGGGCCCCGCTAGGCTGCCCCCCC